TCAATGGTGGGATTCCAAATTATGCCAAGGTGGAGATTTGTTGATTTTTTCACAGCCGCAATGTTTGACTGTGGCATAAGTTTTTCATCCCACATCGCACAAAGCCAAGAAGAAGTCGGCTACTCGAGGCCTATAAAAGGAAGGGTCCTCTGAAGATTTTAATTTGCACCACTCAAAAGAGTTATATGGGCTATTAGTTTCTTGAGTCATCTAGCCCATTTAGTCAAATATTTTAGGCTCTCTTGTATTGTGTTTAGGAATATTTCCTAAATCTTTTATAAGTGCCTTTTGGCCTAGGAACCACTTTCCTACGGCTTTTGTATTTCTTTTTCATAGTAGAAATATTGCTCCTCCTTTGCCCGTGGACGTAGGTCAATTTGACCGAATCACGTAAATCTTCTGTGTCTTTTATTTGCTTTGTTATCCGTCTTTATATGGTCGATTTTACTGCCTAATTATTATATGGCCGGTATCTACCGCCTATCTATTATATGGTCGGTTATACCGCCTACTTTGTTCTAACTTGAGTTTGTCTATTTCCTGGCCCGGTCCTAACACCTCTTATCAAATTCAATTTTCTTTAATAACTTTAACATGTGTTCCTGACTGATTTGAATTCTTTGTGATATGAATGTTAATTTAAACAGTGGATATTGCACGATTGGAATGATGAGGAATGTATACAAATACTTGGGAAATGCAAAGAAGCAATTCCTAGCAAGGAAAGTGGAGGGAAGGTGATAATCATAGACATGGTACTGAGTGACCAGCAAAAAGGAGCTGATGATGATGAGGCAATTTAAACTCAACTTTTCGTTGATATGCTGATGATGGTCCTTGTCACAGGGAAAGAAAGAACTGAGAGAGAGTGGGCAAAACTCTTTTCTGAGGCAGGGTTCAATGATTATAAGATAACTCCAGTACCGGGCTTGAGATCCCTTATCGAGGTTTATTATTAGGAGTAGTGGATAGTTTTTTTGGACTATTTTTGTTAGACATGTGTATGAAGCCAACATGTTTATCTTTCCTTCTTTTACGATTGTAATCTTTTGTGGCATTTTCTTTTCATTTTTAATAAATCAATATTTTCTTTTGGGAGGTGAAAATAGCGGTGCAAGAATTTTCTGCAAGGCAATTCTGTCAGGCGGACATGTAAGTTACATGCACAACAGCTCCTAGGACGATCTTGAGTATTTATTTCTTTTCATGGCCCGTCCCAGGGAAAGAATTTGAGGAATCAAGAGACAGACTGCAGGGCAGATAACTTAGCCCAAAACTGAGACCCAACATTTGGGGCATTGAGACCCAACTTGAATGCTATCGAATGTAAACTGCTATTCAAGTTTGGTTTGATTAGTTGGCAAATTAATCTCGAACGAGCTCTTAAACTCAGTTCAAGTATCGAATAGATTAGTTCATCTTTCAACTCTAATCGTACGACTTCAATTTCTGAATTTTCCTCATCAAAACCTTATTCTTTTTTCTTTTTTGATTGTTTTATACAACTTATCAAAGTATAACTATGCAGTAATTTCTTTTCACCTTCACACGATGAGGCCAGAATTTCAAGAGTAAGGTATCATAAATTCTATATGTATGTTCAATTGTCAAAATGAAAAAGCTTTTACACAACTCAATAATGAAATTACGCCATATTTGACCTTTTTGTTACTTTTTCCTTTCACTTTTTTTTTTTCAAATAAGCAAAGAAATAGCACATAAACAAAACTTTTTACACAACCCAATCAATTCAGTAATTGGAAGGGGGGAAAAATCAATAGTGTAGCTGGACAAATACCCAAAGTTGTAGGTGCAACCAAATATGTTGATGTTCAAGATTGTACTGATTGAAAATGTAGGACGGTGATAAAAAAAAATATAACAGTAATTTTAAAATTGCCACCGTTGATGTTCAAAATTGCGTTTTATTTCATGAAAATTACATCCAAAAAGTATAACAGTAATTCCTTTCCCAAAATCTCTTCCTCAAAATGCAATTCAAACAACCTCTTAATTTTCTTCAAAGGAAAGCTTTTAGAGCTCAAGCAAACATCACTCGCACTAGTATCACCTAACCTGTTTTGCAGCTTCCCTTCATCCAATATGAAAATATCACGTGTAGGAGCTCATGTCAAACTCTTAACATATATTCAAGGTGAATATTTACTTTAAAAAGAGATGGACAATCGCTTCTAGTTGGATTACTCTCACTATATTTATATATTTTGCTTTTAACACCTGGAGACTTGATGATGTTGTAGTTTTCTAAATTCACGGGCCAAAGTTGAAGATTTCTAAATTCAGTTTTTATTTCATAGATAGATATAAATAACCAAAATTGAAACTCATGGCTTGCTCGTGATATTTATTCCTTGTTGCTAACCGTCAAATGTGCTTACATTTCGGCTGTACTCAGTTCCACTTCGCGTATTGTACATGAAAACTGAAGATGAATAAAACAGGGTGCCACTCAAAAAGGGTGACCAGTGCAGCTGTGAAAAAAAAAACAGAAATAAAGAAAAAGAGAGCTCTTTCTGTAAATGAATTAATTCTGAAGATCCATGCCACACTTTCTTGTCTAAAACCATAGTTATTAAATTCAACCCGACCCAGTGTTGAATCGGTCAAATTGATAGACTGGTCATGGAATCGGGCCGATTTAGCAATTGGATCAGAGTTGCAGATGATTCGTTCTAAACTGTCTGAGCCCGATGGTCGAACCTGTGACCCATTAAATCTAGCAGTTTTTGATGAATCGAGCGAGTTTTGAAAATTTATCTGAAATTGTATTTTTTTTAATTTGACCAGCAACCCAAACAATGGCATTGTCGCCTTTTTGATAATTAGATGTGAAAAATTGAAAAAGGATTTGGGAATTAGGATTTATTTCTTTCTTTGACACTTAGATTTATCATTTATATTTGTGTATAATATCAACATGAATTCATGAACTAAAGAACACGTATGGATAGAGCTTGTGTGTATAAACTATGAAATATTAATATGTTATGACTTATTAACATTTAAGAATTTTTGTACTTATATTATAATTTATATGTTTATTTAATTATATTATATATTTTTCTATTATATAGGGTGACCCGTCGGTTAAATCACTGACCCGCCAATCCGAAGGTTGATGCCCGAGTTGGTTTTAATAACTATGCCAAAAGGCACTTGTCAGTGTCTCCACCCAGATTGCAAAATCTGCATGCCTATTTGCCCAACTAAAAAAATTCAAATTTAATGCAATAATGCAATTGGGCCCAAATTAATCAATAATTTATTTTTACCCCAAACTGTAAAACTTATGCTAATATTTGCAATAACATTTTTTCAATAGAAAAAGCCCTCAAGTACACATAAGAACACCTATGCTATACACAAGAGATACATATAAAATCAACTTGGAAAGCATTCCAAATACAATCCCCAGCCCAAAGCTATCTGCCACAAATCAGTATCTTAGCACTTCATTAGGCAAATCCTATCTCATTTTGTGTTCTAACTACTAGATTGTATTAATCCAGCCCTATAGAGTTGAATCTTTCAAACCGCCTGTTAGAATTCTAAATTTTTTCTTTTTGTTTAGAATTCTAGAAGTTGTTTTTAATGTTATCCCTATATCATCTAGTGATCATGACTAGGGGTGGCAATGGGCCAGTCACCCGCCCCACGGGGGACTATTGGGGTTGGGGTGGGGGTGGGGGCAGGGGCGGGGGGTGAAATTTTTTCCACCCGTTTGAAACAAATATATATATATATATATATATATATATATATATGTATGTACATAATAATATATATAATGATATTATCAATTATGCTACTAATTATATATATTTATTAAAAAAAATTATTAATTATTTATATTAAATTTATTAATACATTTATATTAAATTCCTAACTACACTTAATACAATAACACTTTTTTCTAAAAAAATACAATAATAATTTAGTGATTATATTTGTATCAAAAGTGAAAACTTAATTATTTTAGTTTTTTTTATCATATTAGATTGTATTCAAATATCTTTTGTTTAATTATTTTTATATGTTTCAATTGCGAAGTTACAATGAATAATAATTTGGTTATGTGTTGATATTTTAGTACTTGATTATTTGGTCAAATTTAATTATAATAAATTATATAATAATTTTTTTAACACCGCAGGTGCTCTCAGGAGATGCGAGGCGGGACGGGACGGGGGACGGGGGTCATTAATTAATAGGCAATGGGGCGGGGGATGGAGGAAGGATCCCCCGCCCCACCCCCGCCCCATTGCCACCCTATTCACAACAAAAAATTACTTGAGTAATACAATATCATCTTTTGCATACAGCATATAGGCTTTAGACTTCTACTATTTTATGTGAGAGGCCATATTAAACAAAATTTCCTTGACGAGTCAAAATTAGAGAATCGACCTTTTGCGAGCCCATTCAAAATTAAAAAGCATCCCGACACTAATTTGAGATTTTCTGAAAAAAAATTTCGGGACCACCATTGTAGTGAACAAGGAAGATGATAACATTTTGTTGGATTACCTTTTCTGTAAATGCTTGTAACATGGAAGAGGTCTGCCATCAAGAATACGGCAAACCAAATGCTACCCGGTCGATCCTCGAAAAGCTAGTCAAGCCCCCATAACCATTTGTTTCAACTTTCATGTCACCATCAATGGTGGCTGCTTCAATTTACTCTCAGTCTTGCTCGTGGTTCATTCGTATTGAATTTTCTCAGATACTAATTAATAATTGCAATTGCGTCAGCAATTAGATATTTTAATCGAATTACTTGGGAGTATTTATTTGGTTTGGTGAGGTTTGACACCTCTAGATCTGCCAAACCCATTTAGATACTTTGAAATCGTGGAAACCAATCAAATATAGCCTCATAGGAGGCGCAGGAGGCATCTACCGCCATAATTTAGGAGCAGATATGCACTGCTACCCATAATTTACTAGCATATAAATGCTGTCCTGCTTGACCATTTGTTGTTTAATCAGGCAACTGAATTAATGCCATTGAATTTGAACAAAAGATGGAAAAAGTTGAGAATTTAGGTGAGCTTATTGAAGCTCAAACTCATGTGTGGAATGCAATGTTCCACTTCAAGAAATCTGCATGTCTAAAATGTGCAGTTGAATTGGGAATCCCAGATGTGATCAGGAATCATGGGAAGCCCATCACACTTTCTGACCTGATTTCTGTCCTCCCAATCCACCCTTCTAAATCTGCCCACATTTTTCGCTTAATGCGATTCTTGGCTAACTCTGGATTCTTTGTTGAAAACCCTCAAGGCTATGCACTCACCTCTGCAGGCCGGCTTCTTTTGAAAGATGAGCCATTCAATGTACGGGCACACATTTTTCTATCCTGTGATCCTGCCATGTTGAAGCCCTGGAATTTCTTGACCAAGTGGTTCCAGAATGATGATCCCTCTCCATTTGATACTGCCTATGGGAATAATTTCTGGCATTACAACGCTCAAGAAGTTCGATTTGGAAAAATGTTTAATGAGGCCATGGCTAGTGATAATCAGCTGTCTGTAGAAGTGCTGATGACCAAATGCAAGTTTGTGTTTGAAGGCTTGACAACTTTGGCTGATGTTGGGGGTGGCACAGGCAAAGTTGATAGGGCCATTGCCCAAAACTTTCCTAACATAAAATGTACTGTGTATGATCTCCCACACGTCGTTGCTAATCAAGAAGGAGCTGAGAACTTGGAATTTTTAGCTGGCGATATGTTTCAAAGTGTACCCCGTGCCAATGCAATCTTGCTGAAGGTAACTAAAGCCATCGTGCCACTGAATTTCTGAATTTTTTTTAATAGAAGAAAAAATTTATGATTTTCTTATTAAGTTTTCTTTTTTTTTCCCCTCTTATTTGGAATCGATTTGCACGATTTGAAACTTATATCGAATCTCTCATAGTAATTTGTGATTATATCGGTAATTAAACAGCGGATCCTTCATGACTGGAGTGATGAGGACTGTTTGAAAATTCTCAAGAACTGCAAAAAGGCCATTCCCGAGAAAGACAATGGGGGGAAGGTGATCATTATAGACGGTGTAATGGGAAGCCAGATACAAGATAAGACATCATTTGAAACAGAATTTAGCATGGACATGCAGATGTTGGTTATGCTCGGCCCTGCCAAAGAAAGAACTGAGAAGGAATGGTCAAAATTGTTTTCAGATGCTGGATTTAGTAGCTATAAAGTCTATCCAGTCTTGGGCATGAGGTGTCTCATTGAGGTTTATCCCTAAGTTGAGGAACATTTTTTGTTTCTTGTAACATAAAAATTACCAAGTGTTTGGTTTTGGATTTTTTTTTTTCCTTTTCATCATGTTGAACTTGTTATCCCGTAGTAACAAGAGTGTGTGTCTCTCATGTAAGTTATCGCATTCAATATAAATATCCAGTTCATTGCTTAACTAGAAAAATTTTAGTACATCTTTAATATTTTCTTTTGCTTCTTTTACCCGTAAAAGACAAAAGAATCAGACAGTAATATTCTGTACGTATAGGTGGCTTAACACTGAATACATTGAGAGTCTTCATTTATTCTCTTAAATTGGACCAACAGTTAAGGTGCAAACGTTCATTTATAGCTAAATTATTCTTTAGGGGCAAAAAGTCTTCCAAATTTAATCTTTTTTTTTACTAGATGCCAAAATATGTCTACCGTAATATTGTCCATAAGTTGGAAAAATCTGATTATTCTGAATAATCTCAAGAAGCATAGAATGGTAGTAGACCATCTATGATCATGTCAATATACCAAATAATCGTACAAGTTCTTGCACATTCGAAGTTTGATGATGAAATTACTCTACCATAAAGAGTAAAGATCAGCGTACATCAAAATAATCTTCATTCGAGAAATTCAGGGAACAAAAAATCAAACAAAGTTTTTTTTTTTTTAAAGAATTCAGACAAAATTATTCAATCAAGACTGCCATTTTTGACAGCCTTGTGCTGGATTTTTCACAGATATTGCAAGTTTCAATGCTAAGAAAAATTGACAAAATAAATTTGCCAAAATCCAGTTCCTCAAGAATGCCAACTTTGGACGAGCCGTTCTCTAAATCGAACCCATGTGATGAGCATCAATTCCAAACTTGTAATCATCAACTTCTTCAGTTGCTCATCTGTGGGTGGTAACCCTGCTTGAGCAGCTGCTGGCCAGTCCAAGTATATAAACTGCAGGCACATCTAAAATGTCAACATTAATGTTTCACTACAAAGAACCCGTCCACATGTTTCACTATAACTATTTCCATGAGTTGCAATTGATGATTGATGATCATAGTTACTAAATTCGGCTGGGGTACAAATTCAGTAACGAAAAATACTACTTTAGTCCTTTATTATCCCAAGATTTCAGAAACCCTTTAAAATAATATTATTTTTCTCCCTATATCCTAATAAAAATTAGATTTTGGCCGTCAAGATTTTAATTTATGATCCTTCAACATCCCTTAAGAACTTGATCATATTCTATGTGAATGTTAGAGTCCCCCCCCCCGGCCCGGGTATGAGGGTACCTTCTTAAATGCACAAGTTTCCTAATATTGTCGTCTCTACACCCCTTCCCCTCTTCTCTCCCAAAATCTTAACCTCTGATCACGTTAGTGCTTTACTATGCGAAATGTAACAAAAATGAAAGATATAGTTAAACAAAGCTTCAACTTATCTCTATTATTGTTCAAAAGAATGACACAAGTAGTTCTAATAGTCGATTTGACAATTAAGTTTTATCTGTGTAGATATATAAATTTCTAAAGGTACTTTAAGTTTTTAAATTCTATATGTACGTTCAATTGTCAAAATTAAACAGCTTTTACACAACTTAATAATGTAATTACAGCAAGTCGGACCTTTTTGTTCCTTTTTCCTTTCACTTTTTTTTTTCCAAATAAGCAAAGAAATAGTACATAAACAAAACTTTTTATACAACCCATTTGATTCAGAAATTGGAAGGGGGAAAAATCAATAGAGTAGCTGGACAAATACCCAAAGTTGTAGGTGCAACCAAATAGGTTGATGTTCAAGATTATGCGGATTGAAAAATGTAGGACAGTGATTACTTATTTGGGCACTTGATAGTGTTCGAAATTTACATCTTATGCGTAGAGGCTTCTGATGATTCATTCACATAAAAATATTAATTATTTGTAAATATCATGTTTATCAACTCCTTTATAATTGAGAAAGCTCTCCTCTCTATTGAATTGGAGGGTATTTCTCTCCAATGCAGCACCATAAAATTCATTCAAAAATTATTTTTGAAAATCAACAGTGCCGTCACCTCCATCAGTACTTTCACTAGGCTGACGGGCACCTCTATCAGCGCAGTCTCCTTCTCCCCTTCTTTTTCTTCTCCCCCTCTCTCTCCCTTCCTCCACCTCATCTCTCCTCCTCCTCCTCCTTTCCCACTTTTCCTGCCACCCCTTCTTGCCCTTCTCCCTCATCCTGCCCCCTCCCCCTCTCCCACGATCTGGCAGCGTGATAGAGGAGAAGGGATGGCATGGGAAAAGTAAAAGGAGGAGGAGAGAGGAAAAAAAAGATGGAAGGTGGCAGTGATGATAGTAGGCTGAGGTGGGAGGATAGTGATAGAAAAAATGAACAAGTGTGTATTTTTTATTGTTTTAGGATATGTATTTTAAAAACTTTATGGTGTTTTTAGATATTACTTTAGACAAAGTTGAAAAAGACTCTCTCTACTAAAACCTCGCAAGAAACAGGCATCCAAACATACCTATTGGTCTGAATCTGATCAATTAACTCGATGGTCAGTACTGGTCGGCTCGATGGAATTGAATGTACAAACTAGGTGTTTCCTTTAGCTACTAGGACTAGGCTATGTTTTTAAATTTGGATCGGACCGATCAGTTCGACCAGTTGAACTGAGAACCGACCAGACATCCGGTCCAAGCCACCGCCCACTGTAATTTGACCTGAATTTTGCTTCCTAAATGTATTGATATTTAATTAGTACACACAGTAGAATTTCAGCCATCAGCAAAGTCAAAACGATTAATTTTTTGCCAAATGACATCAAATATATATATGCAAAGTCTTGCATTTACTCACTTTTTTTCCCTCTAAGATAAGAATAATTAAGCCGAAAGGTAATAGTTGATACATTATTACTATTAAAGATAGTTCCATTTGATACAGTATTATCCGTCAAGCCTAATATCTTCCCAATTTGATATTGAAATTGACCCAACAGTTCAGCTGCAATAGGGCACAAGTTAAAGCTCGAGTAGTTAATATTTGCAACAACCTTTTTTTCAATAGAGAAAGCCCTCAAGTGCACATAAGAAAACGTATGCTATACACGAGATACAAACAAAATCAACTTGGAAACATTCAAAAGACAATCACCTGTCCAAAGCTATCTACCACTTAGTCAATAGCTTAGCACTTCATTAGGCAAATCCTATCTCATTTTGAGCTCTAACTACTAGAATGTCTTAATTCAGCAGTATAAAGTGGAATCTTTCAAACCACCTGTTAGAATTATAGATTTTTCCTTTTTATTTAGAATTCTAGAAGTTGTTTTGCCGTTATCCCTCTACAATAATCTAGTGATCAGAACAAAAAATTACTTCAGTAGTAATACAGTATCATCTTTTCCATGCAACTTTTAGGCTGTAGCCTTCTACTATTTTATGTGAGAGGTCACATTAAACAAAATTTCCCTGACGAGTCAAAATTAGAGAATTGACCTTTTGTGAGCCCATACAAAATTAAAAACCACCCAACACTAATTTGAGGTTTTCTAATTAAAAATTTCTAGACCATTGTATCGAACAAGGAAGGTGGTAACATTTGTTTTGGATTACGTTTTCTGTAAATGCTTGTAACATGGAAGAGGTCTGCCATCAAGAATGCGGTAAAACAAATGATACCCGGTCGATCCTCGAAGAGCTAGTCAAGCCCCCATAACCATTAATTTGTTTCAACTTTTATGTCACCATCAAGGTGGCTGGTTCAATTTACTCTCAGTCTTGCTCGTGGTTCATTCGTATTGAATTTTCTCAGATACTAATTAATAATTGCAATTGCATCAGCAATTAGATTTTTTAATCGAATTACTTGGGAGTATTTATTTGGTTTGGTGAAGTTTGATTTGCCAAACCTATTTAGATAATTTGAAACCGTGGAAACCAATCAAATATAGCCTCATAGGTGGCACAGGAGGAATCTACTGCCATAATTTAGTAGCAGATATGCACTGCTACCCATAATTTACTAGCATATAAATGCAGTCATGCTTGACCATTTGTTGTTTAATCAGGCAACTGAATTAATGCCATTGAATTTGAACAAAAGATGGAAAAAGTTGAGAATTTAGGTGAGCTTATTATTGAAGCTCAAACTCATGTGTGGAATGCAATGTTCGCACTTCAAGAAATCTGCATGTCTAAAATGTGCAGTTGAATTGGGAATCCCAGATGTGATCAGGAATCATGGGAAGCCCATCACACTTTCTAACCTGATTTCTGTCCTCTCAAGATATATGAGGGTACCTTCTTAAATGCACAAGTTTCCTAACATTATCCTCTCTACATCCCTTCCCCTCAAAATCTTAACCTCTGATTACGTTAAGTGCTTTACTATGTGAAATGTAACAAAAATGAAAGACTTAGTTAAATAAAGTTTCAACTTATCTCTATTATTGTTCAAAAGAATGACATAAGTAATTCTAATAGTCGATTTGACAATTAAATTTTATCTGTGTAGACATATAAATTTCTAAAGGTACTTTAAGCTTTTATATCAAACAATTATTTTATTGCTAATGAAAATAACATCCTATTATATCTTCAAAAGTATTGCAAATAATTCAAAATAGACGAGTAACCATGTCTTCATCTAAATTAATTCAGAATATAATACTACATGGAGAATCCTAGTTTTGAGGAATTTCAAGTGTTTTTTTTTTTTTTTTGCAATGTCAAATATTAGTATAGTATCTAAGTACAGGTGGAGAGTGCATTTACAAGATAAATTAAGCGTAGCTGTTGCAAAACTATTTTAAAAATATTTTTCTTATATAATAACGCTACCCAATCGGGAAGAGCTCAACCCATGATTTTCCATGGCGCAGGAGGAGACTATGCGTTTGGCTCTTGTGGATTCCGATTTCATCCAGAAACTGGTAATGCTTTTCAACATCGGCCAGCATCTTGTCTATGGACGGCAAAGTCACTTTTCCAGATAAAACGCCAGCTACCCAATTGGCTTGTAGCTCCATCATGAGAAAATTTATTGTCCATTTGTCAAGAAAAATGTCAAAATTAGCTGATCAAAATTGAATCTAGAGTATTAATTAAGTAAAAACATTTTCTCTCTTAATTACAACAACAATATTAAGACGAACCCGGCTTGGTATTCCAATAAAAGAAAGAGTTGGAGC